AAACCTAATAAAGTTATTAGACTTTGATATACTGTTTTGTTCTTTGTCTCAAATACAGAAAAAGTGTGTATTGCAAAGGTGCTATCGAAAATTATTCTTATTGACATTCTGTGCCTCGATGAATTTCCATTTTGCATGGCAGCAGGACGAGGGCGCCCAAGGTAGTTCACTATTGTATCTAGCTTAAAGTCTAGAAAACAAGAGCGCGCGGTGATGTAACATTTCACAGCAACGGCAGTGGACGCGACGCAGCGAGAACACTGACTGACTATACCATACTGTCTCTGCAGGTTGGTCTTGTTTCTCTCTCTCTCTCTTTTTTTTATCCTAAGCTGCTGCTGTGTGAAATGTTCACGGTGTACTGCTCCTCACGGTTACTGCTCCTGCAATGGCGGAGATGAACAAACCTGAGTGATTGACATGCCATAAACAGATAACCGAAACCTCGATGTTCCTTAACTGTATGGCTTGTAAATACTTTTACCATGTAGGGAAGTGTTCTGGTGTAACTGCTGCATCTTTGTGCAGTAAGAATAAATTGTTTCCCAACACTTGGATCTGTGTGACGTGCACGATGGCCAAGGCCAGAGGTGCACCAGTGACAGATTATTATCAGATTTTAAATATTCATGGAAATCTAAATGAGCTGAATCAGAAGATTATATTGCTTCTCCCACTTGTCGCTAAGGTTGATGCCCTCAATGAAGCAATGAAAAAGATGACTGGAATTAAAAGTCAATCTAACTTCTTTCTGAGAAGTATGGCACAGTTATATTAGATCAGCAAAACAGTAACATGACAGCACTGAAGAAACGTGTCGTGGTTATTGAGGCGGGCTCAACCACGAACGGCAACGAGCTGAAGCTCCATGACATGGAGCAGTATAGCCGTCGATTAAACATTGAAGTGCACGGTCTTCAGCGCGAGGAAAACGAAAACCTTTTTTGCGAAATCGAAGAATTTGGCACATGAGCTTCAACTGCCTGAACTTGTGGAAGCTGATTTGGAAGCCCTGCAAGGTTTCCATCGGATGCTGGAAAGGAGCCAGTTGTTATGGCACGATTCTCGTCACAGCTCTCGACAGAAAATGAATTGAAAGTAGCTCCTCTCTGAAAGAAAAACAGACTGATTAAGAATTTTTGATATTTTGACCGCCATGAATATACAGCTTTTTTGGCTTACTTGATCGAAGGGAGAGGAAAGGAACTATCACTTCGTTTAACAAAAAAGTGGGCACATTTTCGTGCGCAAAGGGCAATGTGACAAAGCAATGCGCATTCGAGATGAGAGTGATCTTGAAAAGATGGTGTCACGTCACGAGCATTCACATCATGTTTAATCAGTTGATTTTTTTGAGCAATGGCTGGCTCACGCTAAATTAATGTTGAATCGTTTCGTAGCACTGTGTTTAAGGATAAGAATACTAGGAACTTTTTAAGTGTGTTTTATTTAAATGCTAGTGGTTTGAGAAATAACAGAGATGAATGGGACGTGTTTTTTTCTTCTTTCCGGCATGAATTTGATGTCCTTGCGTTGGTGAAACATGGTACACCCGCCACTGTGACATACTCTTACTTTCGGGATATAATTATGAAGCAATATACAGAAATCATAAGACTGGCGGGTGGCCTTGTACTTTACATCAAGAAATATCTTGATTACGATGTCATTCCTGCATTTTCGGTTATGTTTCCTAGCCATGAAGCCCTGTTCGTCAAATGTAGATCCTTTGTTATAAGGGTTGTTTACCGTCCACCTTCTGGGTCTCTGACTAATTTCTTCAAATTCCTTGACTCATTACTACATCACTTCGCCTCGTCTGATGTACCGGTTGTATTTTTGGTCGCTTTATTATCAACATTCTGCAAAACGGTCCGACCGTTAAGCAGTTTTTCATTATTATAAACTCAAATGGGTTTACTAATACTATTGACGTTCTCACTCGTATTACACCTTCTAGTAAATATTTGATTGATTTGTGTTTAACTAACTCAGATTGCAGTGTTACTAGTGCTAGGGTTATTACTTGTGACCTAAGTGATCGCTTGTCTTTGTATTGTACGGTACCGAAATCATCAGCTAAGTCCCTCGAGCAATCTTTCACTGCTACGCATTCAAGGATCATAACCACTGATAAAATTGAACAGTTTCGTGTGTTGGTGTTAGCAGTAAACTGGAAGGAGCTATTTAAAGACAGAAATCGCTCTAATACATTATATGATACATTTCTAGACAAGTTAGTTGAAATATAGGGTTAAGATTTCTCCATAACACTAACACGTCAGTGCAAAAAAGCTAGAAAATCTTGGATAACACGCTGACTTTGAAAACGTATAGCGAAACAAAACAAGCTTTTTAAAAAGTTTGTACCAACACGATAAATACAAATATTTGATGAATTTAAGCGTTTTAGAAACAAGTTAAGAACGGATATAAAAACATCAAAACATCAGTACTACACAAACAAATTCGCTTACATGCATTTTGATCCCCGTAGAACATGGTCTACACTAAAAGACATTTAAAAAAATAAACATACCACTTTGCCCACTCAATATGTCTCATGTAACCAAATTTACACCGGAAGAGATCTCGCCGATCAATTTAATTCATTCGTCCTCCCATCTGGACCGTTTGATTCAGACAGTAGCTCGAGGTATGCTGACTTCTATATTAAAACTTCCGTACTAAGCACTTTGTTTCTAGATCGAACTTCACCGAATGAAATCTTACAGATTATTCTTAATTACAAAACAACCGCTCTGCAGGTTTTGATGGCATTAAGGTTGCACCTATAAACCTGCTTCTGATATATTAGGTGTAGTATTATCAAACATAGCAATTGTTATTTTGTCTATTGGAGTATTTCCAGATAAGAAGGAAGTTGCGAGAATTGCTGTATTGCATAAAAGATTCATTTCAGAATTTCAGTAACTACCGGCCTACATCTGTACTCTCGTGTTTTTTGAAAAAAGTAGGGAAAGTTATCCATTCTAGATAAGTAAAATATTTATGCAAGCACAACCTGCTATCGCAACATCAATATGAATTTCAAAAAGGTAAATCGACTGAAAGTGCATTATTTTAGATCAAGAAAAAATTACTGTCTAACATAGAAAATCTCCTATATACTTTATGCGTCTTTTAGACTTTAGGAAGGCATTTGAGTCCATCAAACACGACATCTTCTTCGCTAAATAACCAAGGTATGAAATACGTGTTATGTCTCTGACTTTAATTCAGTCCTACCTGTCAAATTGAGTACACTTTGTTAGTTCTCGCGACACAAAATGAGATTTGCAATCTATTAAGTATGGCGTCCCTCAAGATGTAATTGAACGTCCAACATCAGTTTTCTTTATATTAATCATATAGTTTATATTCAATCCACCCAAAATAAGGTTCTATGTGCAGATGACACGAGCGTATTCTATTCTTCTACTGACTCAGTTACTCTCATACCATTGGTAAATTCCTGGCCACAGAAATTATCAGCTGGGCTACATACTAATCATTTACAGTTAAATGTGAGTAAAACGAAGCTCATGGTATTTCACGCCATTATAAAATGGTTCATATTGGATGATGCTATTACATTTCGGTGTGAATTTCCAGCGAACGCAGTTGGAAGACACGGCGTTGACTATCGGTACGTTCTGTGACCTGGTTCAACTCTGAATTGTCATTCTAGTGAACAACACATATTCAAATAAATCAACTATGTAAGGTACACTCGAACTAACCACTCAAGAGTGAGCAACGTCTCGTTGACCCGACAGTGCGCCGAACTAAACACTAGCCCCGATAGCAGATTGTCTGGATACGCCTCCACTTATGGCACTCGACAAAAAAATAAGGCAATTAGCCATTCAGCCAATTGTCAGGTAAACCATAAAGTAAGTTTATAGTTAACATAGACATATATAAAAGTACAATCATTAAAAATATTCAGTTTTTTTTGCCTTCCTCACTTAATCGCGCTTCAATGGTGGGCGACCATTGATGCCTGTGAGTTTTCAGCGATTTTCGTTCAAGTTTAGGGGACCAATTAATTTGACCACGTTACACACACGTGCAATTTTTTTTCGGAACAAATGTTGCAAGTTCCATGCAGTAGCAAGCCCAACTTGTCATTTTAATAGGACATGACTCCATACTGACGGGCACAACAACGTCGTCATATACTAAGGGGCGTTCCTGAATCTACTGGCAGAGTGCACTTCAGCCTATCGACACGTAGACCCTACGTCGTCGCAGATTCTAGAGACGGCCATCGATTCTCTGTCGTTTCATGATACGCAGGTGGCCAAGTTCTCGAGTTCTTTCGACGTATTGCCGCATGGTGTCTTTGCAGCGGGGTGGATAGGTTCCTTTCCCAAACCAGCTTGAGTGGCACTTTGTGTGAGATGACGTGCATGGGGAAAATGATAAAATGTTTCGTTTGTTGTTACCATACTTTACTCAGAGCTCATCACGTTCCATGTTTCTATTAGAAAAAATTCTCATACAAGCTGCTGCATACATAGTTACTGTGTTTTTTTGTAATAGACTTGCAGCAGAGATTATGCGAATGATTGACTGATTGATATGTGAGACTTGGCAGTAGCGGCGAGAGCTGTGTGCACGGGCTAAACTTTCTGGCACTCTTATCGCAGGGCATTTCAAGCAGCCGCACCAAAAGCGTCCAAACGGTCCACCGCTTCTCCAAAGCAATCCAGGGTCTGGTACCAGGAGGCGTCATTGTCGGCTGCGCCTGCGCCCTGTCTCCAGGATCAACGTCACGCTTTGCGCACTACAAAAGGAGCTACGTGGTTGTCGCACCTTTCACTTGGCAGTAGTAGCGAGAACTGTGTGCACGGGCTAAACTTTCTGGCACTCTTATCGCAGGTTAGTGTTCCAGATATATCGGGTATTTTATTACCTGTTACATATCTACGCTTCGTCGCTGCTGCCAAACAGTGAATCCGGAATTTGTTGTATTCTTGTGCGGGCATTGAAAAATGGCTAAAGACATTGCTAAACTCAAGGAAGAAATGAAGGCAGAACTGCTAAAGATAAAAGAAGAGATGAAACAAGAGATAAAATCTTTTCGTGATTCCCTTGAAAGGGATTTACGGAATGAAATCCGTGAGCTAAAAAATGATCAGCGTCAAATGACGGAAAGCCTCAACTTTGCCTTCACTTCAATTGAGGAGCACAAAAAGAAACTGGACGATGTGATTACAAAGAACAGGGATCTTGAAAGTGAAAATGCTGCTCTTCGTGCTGAGTGTAAATGTCTTGAGAGCAAAGGCAGGGATCTTGAAACAAGGCTTGTTCTTGCTGAGCAGTACTCGAGGAAGACAAACCTCGAGATACAAGGTGTACTGAAACAAGACAATGAATCTGTTACTAACATTGTCTCAAAGATTGGCAGTGCCATAAATGAGCAAATAACTGCAGGTGATATTGAGGTCTGTCATCGGGTGCCGAGCCGAGACAGCGGCAGAAGTAATATCATCGTCCAGTTTAAGTCTCATGCAAAGCGAGACAGCATTCTAAGGAAAGCAAAACGAGCTCGTCTGACTAACAAAGATGTCGGACTGACCAGTGAAAATGCTATCTATGTGAATGAGCATCTTTGCCCAGCCTTAAAGAAACTTCTAGCTCTTGCTGTGAAGAAAAAGTATGAATACAAATGGAAATCCGTCTGGTCATTTAACGGGAAAATCTATGTGAAGCAATCTGACGATACGCCCGCCGTGCACGTTCCAAATGAGCATGATATTGATAAGGTTTTTTCGGGGTCGTCATATGCAACTGTGTAGGCGCAGGTGACAGGCTGGGCTGAACACTGCGCCGTATCATCAAAATGGATAACGACTGCGCATACATAAACTTAGCGTCACCTTCTGCTATTAAATCTGATTACCCGCCATGCCAATCAGTTTTGCATATTAACACTCGCTCTGTAGTGAATAAAGAGGACGACATTTTGCTTTTTTATAGAGCAACTCTCATTCAAAGTGAGTGTTCTTATGCTGTCTGAAACCTGGTATACGAACAATAGTAGCAAGTTGAAACTACCTGGATATGCCAGTTTCTTTTCCAATCGATCAGATAAACGTGGAGGGGGTGTTGCGCTTTATGTGACTACGAAGAAGAAATGCCATTAAGTTCATGAATACTGCGTGTCAACAGAAGATTACGAAATGCTCACTGTCTCCGATCAAAATGAAATGTTCGCTGTTGTTTATCGCCCACCGGGTGGAAATATTAGGCGTTTCCTAGCATTTTATGAAAGTTTCCTGGACTTCACTAGCAAAAACAACTTTCACTTGACATGCGGTGGCGACTTTAACATCAATATTCTTGATGACAGCACTACTTCCACGGAATATTGGTACATTGCTGTCTTCGAGTGGTTTCAAAAATTTAATTACTACACCAACTCGCATTACGTGCGGCACATTGTCTTGCCTTGACCATTTAATGATAAATGCAGAGACAAAGATTTACACCACTGATACCGCTGCTTCGGACATTAGTGACCACCTCCTTGTTTATGCGCTATATGAAATTCAAAGAGAAATTCGAAACCGTGAGGTAGAAACATTCACTGTTCAGCGAATAACAGATAGTGGGCTGGTTGCCTTTAAAACTGAGATAATGGCCCAAGACTGGTCTTCTGTGTTGGCATTAACGTCCGCCAATGAGGCATACAATGAGTTCATAGAGAAATTTATAAAAATATACGAAAGGCATTTTCCTATGAAACAAGTAAAACCACCAAAAAAAGCGAGAAAACCATGGGTAACGAAAGAACACTTGAAAATGAACACTTGATAAGTTTGGTATCACTTGATAAGTTTGGTATTATAACACTTGAACACAAGATAAGTTTGGTATCATAACTAACGCGCAACACAGATTTAGAAAACACAGGTCAACGGAAACAGCCCTCCTGTCAATCAAGAAGACGATAATAAGGAACATAGAAAGGAAATCCTATGCGCTGGCGTTATTTATAGATTTTAGTAAGGCATTCGACTGCCTTAGTCATAACATTTTATTAGACAAACTAGAATGTTACGGAGTACGTGGTAGCTGCTTATCACTGTTTAAGGCTTACTTAAGTGACAGATACCAGTGTGTTTACGTGAACGGTCACAGGTCGTCTTGTCTAATAAACAAATTTGGCGTGCCTCAAGGAAGCGTTTCAGGGCCGCTTTTATTTATTATCTACATTAATGACATTGTGAACTTTAATACTAATGCTGAATTTATTATATACGCTGATGACAGCACTGTCATGTTGTCTGGGAACGACGTACGCAACTTGAAAACAGATTGCAATGAACTGCTAAGAAAGTTATCTACCTGGTCTCAGCTAAATCAACTTAGGATCAACGTGAAGAAAACTAAGGTAATTATTTTTCGCTCCAAGAACAAATTGCTTCCGTTAAATAATACTATTGCTTTTGAAGGTCAAAAAATCGAAATAGTTGACAGTCACAAAATCCTTGGCGTGCACTTTTCTTCACAACTTACTTGGGACATGCATGTAAATTACCTATGTGAAAAGCTCTCCTCTGTGACAGGTGTCTTATCACGATGTCGTAGTTTGCTACCTACAAAGGCCAAAGTACAGATTTATGATGCTTTATTTCATGCCCACTTAAATAATTGCGCCTTAGTGTGGAGTACAACCACTATAACTAACATACGTAAAATTCTGATGCTACAGATGAAGATTATTCGCTATACTGGCAACTTAGACTATTATTCTAGCAACAGAGAAGCGTTTCCTAAGTACAACATTATTAGAATTGACAACCTTTATACTTTTCGTTTATTAAATACTGCGCGATATGCTTCTGAATCCCTCAAGAACTATATAAAACAGTTGGCATCGTTAGAACGTCGTAGAATTGATGTGAACACAAAGAACCCTGAGACATGGTCAGTTCCATATTTCAGGACGCACTACAAACATCAATCGTTGGCATATAACCTACCATCTACTTTAAATAAATATAAAGATATTGACACGGTCAGTAAAAACGACTTCCGCTTATATTTTGTTCACTTGTAATGTCACATACTGTGACATTCTGTGTAATTGAATTGTGCGTAACTTATGTTGTTTCTTTAACATAGTCTTCTGCTTACATGAATTTCTTGCTGTGTTATATGGCCAGTGTTTTTCTTTTCTTTTGTCCCGTATAGCTAGTAGTGCTACATTGGTACGGTGTTATTATTCTGTGTTATTATTATTTATGTTTATTATTTATGCTATAGCCGTATTTTATTGTATGTAGCACTTTTTTATTTATTTTTTCTAGCACTTTTTATGCACATGTATTTATTTTCACTTTTTCTTCCTGCAATATTCGTGCTGAAAATCCATGTAAATCGCTGTATATGTACGTACGATATGGTATTCTGTTTTACTTGTTGGTTTTCTCGTCACTGCACCGGACTGCTTGTTGTTACTGCCCTGTATTGATATGGGTAGCTTTTAACCCAACGCAACCATCCAGCATGTATAAACTGGAAAATAAATTGAAATGGAATTGAGTTTAACGTCCCAAAACCACCATATGTTTATGGGAGACACCGTAAAGAGGGATCCGGAAAATTTGATCACCTGAGGTTCTTTAACGTGCACCCGAATTCGAGCACACGGACCTACAGCTTTTCCGCAGAGAGTATTCAAGAGAGCACTGCTGTTCGTATCATTTGTTTTAATAACGATTAAGTGCAGCCTGAGGCTGATGACTTAGCTGCTGGTTAAGAAAAATAAGGGCGAACAAAAAACATCAATGAACAGAGGAGACGAAGGGAGACACATGAAAAAAATAGCAATCAAGGTTTAAGAACTGCGGTGAAAAGTCTGCAACATGCTGCTGGAAGATGCCCAGTATATGACAAACGCTAAAAAGTGATAGACTGCCCTAAAATATCTTAGAATCCACCAAGTACGAACAGAATTACATGAATTTGTGGCAAGTTTCAAGCGTTTCTTTTCTCCTTTGGTACCAGGGAGCACGGTAAATGCTACAGAGGGGGTAGAAGGACAAAAGAACAAGATGCATGATTTCGCGAGTGCGCATCATGACCTTAAGAATCGTTTCCTTTTTATGCGCACGTGCGGCTTCCCTTCAGTGTGATCTCAAACAAGCCCGCATGCAAGCGGCGGCATGCGGTGGCGGCCACAATAACTATGCAGCTCGCAACGCTCTAATCAATCAACGGCCGTGGACATTGGGTTGATTGCGTGGACATTTCGGAGTATGACAACGTTTGTAGAGAGAAGAGGGAATGATATGTGGATAGGTTTGAAAATTTATTGTAAATTTCTGGCCACGCGCTGTGTGATAGTGTCTGGCTCGCATGCTCTCAGGAGCCTCGACAACCGATCGGTAGTGCCTTCTGGCCTTGATGAAAGCGTGTTACAGGTCACTTTCAAGGACATAAACTGCACCGGTACATGAAAACGCCCAAAATCTGGCCGCATAACCAAAGCGTTCTGTACACTTTAGCCGAATTTCGGCACGAAACAGCGTTCAAAAATTTCGGAGCCGTATCACAAACGCCAAGATGTAAGTCAGCCAAGCTGACTATGGTGGGTATGCTACAGTGAATGTTCGAATAGTGTGTTGAAATCAAGCCGCTTCCAGGCGAAAACTTTTTGATGGTGTGCAGACACGGCTGCATTGATTGCGTTTGCGTTGCGCTTCAATGGCTCGATCCTCGTCGGTGGCGTTCGACCGCTGCCACCTGCCACACCGGCGCTTTTATTCAAGTCGACGCTCGAGGCAAGCAACCTGCTCTTCTTCAGTGAGGGAGTCGCAGCTACTCGCCGTGGTGATACTCAAAGCACCGTCGGTGGCTATGGCTGCACCTTCGGCGGCAGCGGCTTAAAGCTCTTTACGCGCTTACTCGTGCTACTGTGTGCGTTGGTGTTCCTGGAATTGCCGCTCTTCCTCGTCCAAGCGAACGACAGGCGTCCGTTCCATAGAGTGCCCAAAGGGCAAATGCTAGTAACATCACAAGTGCTATCTCTACGTCCCGAGAGAAAGCAGCACGATAATTGGTGGGAATTGCGGCCGAATATTCCAACGCAGGTAAAAGAGGTGGCGAGGGATGACTATTAGGGTGTGAAAATTGTTGTTCGACCCGTCATTTTGTCAGCGCACGCGATCGGCCTAAACCTACCTGTAAAGAGCATCGTTATAAAACGGGTTTCACGAAGAGGAAAGGACGAGTGCTCAATATCGAGAAGTGAACGCCACGCACTAAGGGTTGAATGGCTAGAATGAGAAGGTGTGAAAGGCGGCCACTGAAACCGGTCCCCTAATTGCACCAATGCCACAATAGAAGCTGTATGCAGGGGCACATGGAAGTGAGCATGGGAAGTGCTGTGTAGAGCTGTCCGACAAACTCGGCTTGAGTTGTTTTGCGCGTAACAGTTTGTAATATTATTCGCTTCCTTCTTTTTTTTTTCCCTCGGCGGATGCTCTGCTCGACAAAAGGCACACTCTTCACTTTCTTCTCCTTCAAAAATCGCCATGAAAAATTGTGCGAGAGAAGGAATATATGTGAAGGGAAGATTGAGTTTGCACGAACTTCCTATTGTCGAATAGATGAAGCCGCTTCTCCTATAAAAATATTCTCGAAAAGAGAGTTAGAGAACTTAAAAGAGGCTCTCACATCGCATCTCACGGTGCATCTCACAGCGGGCACGCTGGCTCTCAGAGTGAGCGTTAACATTGTGTGTGCCTTGCCTGCCTTAATGTTCCTTTAGCTCTCATCTGTACCTCAT